ACATTTTAGTACAATAAATTTTCATTTATATCCAAAAGCAAAAGAGCATGTATTTTGATGTTCTAAATGACATTGGGAATTAGGGAATAATTTCAATTTTACAACAAAGGGACCTTGGCAATGCTAGCCTGAATCACCTTTATTTCCTATTTTGTAAGAGATCCAAATGCCTTAAATGGCTACTTGAGTTTAATGCAAACCTGCAAATGATCCAAATATAAAACAAGCTAATTCAGAGAATTGTGGCCCCCACTTATGGGGAAAAATTGAGGATGGGAGAACTGGACAAAAAAACATGCAGATGGAAAAAGAAAAAGGTCAACCTTAACCTTTCAGCTTTTGGCCTTAAAGTCAATTGGTGTCTTTTTTTTATTAAAGAAATAAATTCAAGACCTCAAAGAGAACCAGAATTATCACCAGGACATAATTTATTGCAAGATATGAATTTTTCAACTTGACCTTTTAACTTAGAAATCAAAGGGGATTTCTTTAAGTCATTGGGAATTATGATATAAAATTTAACAGAAAAAGCTCAAGGGAAACTAAAGTTATTATTTGAATTTTTTTTTGTATTGTAGGAATTTCTAACCTTGACCTTTTGACCTCAAATCAATAGGGATCTTTTCTAGGCTGTAAGGAGTTGTGATATGAAATGATATTGCAAAAGCTCAAAGGCTTCAAGAGATATTGTTCCCAAATTAAAGTGTTATAGTACATACATGTACAGACAGAATGACACACGGACAGACTAAAATTAATATCCCCACTTACAGTACAACAAATAAGGGACAACAAAATAAACTGTTTACATAACCAGAAGTCTCTGATGAGACTGTAGCTCTACTGGTCTGTTTGTATAACAAAAGAAAAGTAGCACTTGGATTTGAAACATTGCAACATGCAACAATAAATAGAATTATGTATCTTAATGTAGTCTACTTTTGTGACAACTAGGAGTAGTAGCGTTTTGAAAGTATTTCACGGAAATTTATATTTTTAGTACCGGTAACAATGACAACACCATTCACCCAAATAAAAAAAACAGAAATACATATTATGTATCGTAGTGTATTCTAACTGTGTGCCAAATTAGATTGAAATCAGACCAAAATTGTAGGAGGAGTAACGTTTTAAAGGAATTTCACAGAAATTTCTATTTTAAGTAACCATGGCAACACTGTTCATCGAATTCAAAAACCAATGCAATAAATTATGTATCTTAGTATAGTCTTCTTGTATGCCTAATTATATTAGAAGCAGACTAAAACTGTAGCAGGAGTAGTGTTTTAAAGGAATTTCACAGAAATTTCTATTTTTAGTAACCATGGCAACACCGTCCATCGAAATCAAAAACCGATGCACTAAATTATGTATCTTAGTGTAGTCTACTTGTGTGCCAAGTTATATTGAAATCGGACCAAAACTGTAGGAGGAGTAGCGTTTTAAAGGAATTTCACAGAAATTTCTATTTTTAGTAACCATGGCAACACCGTCCATCGAAATCAAAAACCGATGCTCTAAATTATGTATCTTAGTGTAGTCTACTTGTGTGCCAAGTTATATTGAAATCGGACCAAAACTGTAGGAGGAGTAGCGTTTTAAAGGAATTTCACAGAAATTTCTATTTTTAGTAACCATGGCAACATCGTCCATCGAAATCAAAAACCGATGCACTAAATTATGTATCTTAGTGTAGTCTACTTGTGTGCCAAGTTATATTGAAATCGGACCAAAACTGTAGGAGGAGTAGCGTTTTGAAAAATTGTTTACAGACAGACGGACAGACAGACAGACAGACGGACGGACGACGGACACCTTACTATCGCATAAGCTCTTCTGGTCTCTGACCAGTAGAGCTAAAAACACACATACTTGCCTGTATAAGTTATTTATAAATAATTGATAAACATTTATTTGGGGGGGGGGGGGGAGGCTGTTACCTACAGGTATTAGGTCATATGTTTTCTGTTATGTCCATGACTTCTTCCATTTTCCTCCACTCTTTGCTCTGTAAAATAATTGAAAAAGCCATGAAGTATATATACTCTTATACATTACAGTTAATGCTAAAACTGCTAATGGTGAAACATTTTGAATGAATCATAATTAAATAATTTGAAAGCTCAAAACTTGAACTATATGGACTGGACTTTTCAGTTTATCACCCACATATTCAGGCATCTTCACCATTTAGACCTAACTTCACATAAATTGTTCTTTGTTATTTTACTTATCAGTAATGTGAATGAGCAGTTACATGTATATTATCATGATTATAGTAACTTGTATGTATACATTATAAAATGTTAACCACATGTACAAACTCTGGTTCATGTCATTGAACTTCATGATAACAATGTCCACTTAGTTATATATTTTTCAGTGTGGAAATGAAACATATTTGTTAATTTTATTTTTTGAGATATTAAACATTGACATTATCTATATTATTATGTAGTACCTTAAAAATATTATATTACAGTAAGTGATCACCTGTTTGGTTTGATTCAATTGTTGCCTTGTCAATAGGAACACATTTCTGCTAAAGAATAAACATTAATTTTAATATTAACTATACAATACTTAATAATCCTCATAGTTACATGAATACTTATAACCAGTTATGTACACATAAAATAAAACAGAAATCATACTTGAGATTTTATTTTTAGAACTAATTCAAAATAATATGCAATTGAAATTTTATTTCCAAACAGGATTGGATCATTTACATGTGAAATCTATCAATATTATGAAACTATTGAGTGTAAAAACCATTCATCAACATTTACTGTAGAATCCTTAATTTATGTGAGTACTAAATATACTCGAATGAGAACAAGAATTAACAAGTGGACTGCTGCTCAAGAGTTTTCACTTTTTACATGTATTTCAGCTATAAAATAATAAAAGCAGGTAATTTTGCTTCATAAGTGAAACTTGATGTATAAGCTACTGAGTGAATTTCAGAAATAATTTGATAAAACTTTTACATATAATTATAAACACATAGTATATGTATATGTACCTTTAAGCTCTTCCTTCAGCTTTACTTCCATACTGATTTTTTAGTGTGTGTTTCTATACATCTTTTGCATATACCTGTAACAATTAGGAATCAAATTAGTTGATAAATATAAATCATTATTATAAATCATTATAATAGATTGGACATGTAAGTTGTGTAAACTTGATATCAATAGGTTTTCACAAACTATAAAGACAAAGTCAGTAAATATTTCCAATTATGATATCACTTTGTGATATTATATTTACATGTATAGGGTTGTCCTTAAGACCTGTGGGACTGGGGAATTTCTTCACCTGTAATGACATAATTCCCAAAATACTCTGGTATTGCCCTCTCAACCCTCACTAAGGGGAGGAACCCCCAACATGCTTTAATTTTTTTTAAAAAATCTGTTTCATTTCTTATGGACAACCCAAATACCATGTACAGTGTCTCTCTGAAAACTTTAAGGTCAGAAATTAAGTTAATTTCAATGGTTTAGCAAAATTCCTTAATTTTTTAAATCCTTGAGGGACACACAAAAACTGCATAATGTTCTTACCAGTTCCAACAGGCAAAACCTCATTCAGCTTGACCCTCTCGGTTAACGGGTTTGCATAATAGCGTCTCCCCTATCAGGTATGGGTGACAACATGTTCTTTTTTTTCCTTTTCCAGTGTAGACCAAGTATATTTCTGTGTTTGACACATACATGTACATGTAGGTATGTTTACAGAAAATAGACTGTCCAAGTCCCATAACAGCTGCATGGTTCAAGATGGTTAACGATAAGAAGCGTTTCAGGGACAGAAATGTCTTCTGTGCTGCATTTAAAATACCTTGTATATTCAGCTGAATCTATTTTACAATCTTTCAACAAAGCTAGAGATCTTTTATCATAATATTGTCGTCAAATCAACACTTCATCTTTTCGTCTGCCATTAAGACACCATACTTTTAATTCCTTTAAATAAGGAGAGTTCCACTAAGGGAGATAATTTTTCTAATAGTTTCAGCCAACTTCAATCTATTTTTAAATTAGCATAATGCCATTTGCAACCAAATTCCTTTTAACTATATATTGATTTTGAAGGATTTTTGCAATTAAACTGATATGTATAATGTTTTAAGCGTTTCTTGGGTTTTTACAGCATTATAAAGATAGTGGTATTTTAAACACATTAATTTAATCTAATTTTAGACCCCACTTTTACAGAATCAGTGTTGATAAATGAAATTAAATAAAATATTTCTAGTTAGAGCACTTCCTTTAAATTTATTTAATATGTAACATTTGAATAAAAGTGCATTTTTTCCTGCAATTTTTTTCTCTTAATCTCTGGGTGTTTTTCAAAATATTTTCATAAAATGTGCTAAAAATAGAATATAGGGCTATAATAGGGATCCCCAAAGGTACCTGACAGTTTTGATACCGTGATTTATTAGAGGACACATGATGCTAATCAGAAACAATAAAATCAGTCAAAATGATCACAATGCCTTTCATAATAAAATTTGGATTTTGCATGGTTTTCTCGTAGACACGCATTTAAGCCAATAAGTATCTGAAATATTTAATTAAAGCCATAAATTTTCAAAAGTAGGTCACAGTGACCTACTTTTCAGTTGCTGTACTCCAAGGACCCAAGACACATGAACTGACAAAGTTTTATGATTCTAAGCCAATTAGTACCCGAAATATTTAATTAAAGCCATAAATTTTTGCAAGTAGGTCACGGTGACCTACTTTTTAGTCGACCTACACCGAAGACCCAAAAGTCATCAACCGACAAAGTTTGATGATTCTAAGCCAATTAGTACCTGAAATATTAAATTATAGTCATATAAATTGAAAAGTAGGTCACGATGACCTACTTTTCAGTTGACCTTTTTTGAGGAACCAAGATGCATCATCTTACAAAGTTTTATGATCATAGAACTTAAAATGTCCAAATTATGCCTCTAAAACGCTTTGAAATCAAATGCCTGCAAAGTTCAAAAAGTAGGTCACTGTGACCTACTTTTTAACTAGAACTGTCCAAAAGGGACAAATACCCCCCGCTGGGTTTTTCAGAGGTGCTAAATCACTAATATTTTATGGATCTAAGAGGTGTTTTCTTATTAACATTTAGAGTGAAAAAATAATTGCTCATTTTATTTTTTTTAATGCATGAAACCAAGGAACAACCTAATAAAACATCAATACCAATACATTGTAGTTACATTGTTTTTTAATATATTGAAAAAATAAATTGCAACTATCTGTCATCTTTTTGAGACATGACATTCTGCATTGATTGTTGAAAAAAAATCAATTAATTACAGAATCAAATTAATCTTGATAACTTTATATCAAATTCATTTTAAAAATGAAAGGCTGGTCATCCAGTAACTATGTACTATGACAGACAATAAATTACAATTAAGAGAATTAAAGAACAGAGATCTTGAAATTCCCAGGAGATATAGATAACACATGCTTGATCAGAGAGGCCCTAACAACTTCCCACACTGAACTCATTAATTTATCTCTAACTGGATGATGTCCACTCATTACTCCCAAGGGACAAATGGATTTACACTATCTGCTGTGTAATGTAAAAATTGTTTTTAATACTTGGTGATTTTTTTTTGTTTTTGTTTTAATGAATAGTTTTAAGCTGTAGTTCACATTTTTGTACAGATGTTCTAGATTCTGTGTCTCAAACCTTAGAAATAAACCCAAAATGACTAAGTCAATAAAAATGAAAAAAAAAAACCTGTAAAATGCAGAAAAATTATCAAATAATGTTGAAAATACCAGGTGCACATCTTCATATGGTAAATAATGAGTGTACAAATTTTCATACAATTCTATGAAATAGTCTTTGAGTAAAGGAAGTACAAAACACATAATAAAAATGAAAAAAACACCTGTAAAATGCAGAAAAATTATTCAATCATGATGAAAATACCAGGTGCACACCTTCATATGGTGAATAATAAGTGTACAAATTTTCAGACAAATCTATGCAATAGTTTCCGAGAAATGCTCAGGACAAAATCTTGTCTACAGACAGACGGACAGACAGACGGACAGACAGACGGACATGGTGATTCCAATATACCCCCCCTAAACTTCGTTTGCGGGGAGTATAATAAATATGTTTTATGGCCCCAAGATGCATCATCTTACAAGATTTAATGATTTTAAACCTCTCGGTATTCAAATTAATGACCTTAATTGTTTTGAAAAAGATAAGCCATAAAATTCAAAAAGTAGGTCAAGTCGACCTACTTTTTAGTTGACGTACTTCGAGGACCCAAGGTACATCAACTGACAAAGTTTGATAATCATAGGCCTTAAATTGTTCAAAATATGCCTCTAAATCATTTTGAAAAAGAATGGCCGCAAAATTTAAAAAGTAGGTCACCATGACCTACTTTTGAGTCAACATGATATGAGGTCCTTAGATACATCAACTGACAAGATTTGATGATCCTAGTCCTTATAGTAAGCAAAATATCAACATTTTAATAAAATGTAATTTTTGGTCAACTTTGAAGTGACCTTGAGACCACGCCCTTTGCCCCAGGGTAAATTCCCGTGCATATTTTAATCTACAACATATCCTCATCCTTTTGTGTAAGTTTGGTTATAATCTGCCCAGTGGCTCTTGAGAAGAAGATTTTTTTAGCAACCAGTACTTTTGTTTCTATTTTCCTAATTATCTCCCCTTGTTAAAGGGTCACAACCCCAGTTTTAGTATAAAAGGGAGCCCTTGGGCCAAGGATACCTTGTGACAAATTTGACAATAATTGGCCAAGGGGTTCTTGAGTTATGGCCCATATTCTAAAAAGTTTACGCACACCGCACGCCGCACACCGCACAAATGGCCATAGCATTAGCTCTTTGAGCCTTTGGCTCAGAAGAGCTAAAAAATCCAAAATGTAATTTCAGGCTTATTAAAGTAGCTCAGATGAACTCATTTCCGTATACAACCAAAAATGCTCTGGACATTGTTTCATATGACCTTTAATGACTAGAATGACAAACATAGGTATTAAGTACACAAATATCTACTATACAACTATATTTGGAAGATCCCATAAAATCAACACATGCTATTTTTTTTCCCCAACATGCCCCAAGATCCTTATTATTGAAGGTCCTAAACTTCTGAAGTATTGGCTAGAATCACTTCCTCACTGGTTCTGCTAGAGGGTGGTCAGATAATTGGTGTCACGAATGGATTCACTTTTGGTACGATGGCTTCAAAACCTCAGCAAGTTTGATGTTGATCATTCCCAAAGACACTTCAAACTTTTCTTGCTCAATATCTGAAAGAAAAGATTACCATGAAGATGTATGATATCTATCTCATAAATAAATATATGACAAATAATAAACTAAAGCTATACAAGACAATTGGTTCTTTCAACCTGGCAGATCAGTTTAATACTATAGAATAGGAATTTATTATCTTGTAATTTTTTGTTCAGATTAGGATTGATTTCTTTTTAAACTAATGGAAGTTGTGAAATTAAAAAAAAATAATAAAGAGACATGATTGTGTCTAAGTTAATTAACCTTGAATATGAGAGAGAACATTGTAAATTACATAAACTATGTACCCTTAAAAACATTCAGCAAATAAAGTTAAGGTATGTCACTCGTGAAATTTGTTATATCAAGGATTTTTTGAGAAGTATATTTTAGATAAGTACTCATATAGTATGACTAGGGGTGAAACGATACACCTCCTTCTCGGTTCGATACGTATTGTATAATTTTGTCTCGGTTCGGTTATTTTCGATACGATACATTTTGATAGAAGGAAACAAATTCTACGTTGTTTTATGCTTTCTTTTTCTAAATCTAGTCACATATTTTACGAATTTTATTTGCAAATTGACTAGAAGAAATTGATTAAAATTATTTGACTGTCAAAAATTATTTTACAAGCTATCAGTCATCAAAAATTTACGTTTTCTATACTTATTTATACTGAGTAACGTGTTATACCTTATGCCAAACCCGACTGAATAACGATCCCGACCGAAAAATGAACCGAACCGAAAATTAGAGATTTTGCACCGTGTATCAAACCGAGAAAAAATACCGCGGTGCATCGATACCGCGGTGAACCGTTTCACTCCTAAGTATGACTCAAAATCACAGAGAAAATGGGGGGTCAGTGTGCATCTAACTGAGCTACGGTACAATTAAGTTGACCTTTTTGCACTTAAATTGTAACTCTTTGGTTAATCACTTTAACCGTTATCATATTTTATAAGATGCAACCATGGCAATAAACATATTCTTATTTTACGTAAAATAGTTTGAATAATATTTATCATTGAACAAATCATGCAAATTAATGCGCGTAAATTATTGTGTGACCTTTTTGCACTAAAAAAGTCTCATATTTGGGGTATTAAAAATCTAAATAGGCAATAGAATATTTTCTTGTATCAAACTTTTTACGACTTAAGTGCTGATCGGTCAAAAGTATCCAGTAGTTTAAAATAATGAAAGAAATAGTTGGGGTCAGTGATGTAAATTTTAAAATACTGGTCAAAATATGCGATTTTCAGGCAAAAAACTGTGTAAATTTTATCTCGACTTCCTTAATATATCTTCATTTCTTGGCAATGTTTGTTGAGCGAAGGTGTAAATTTTGTTATAAAAATATAAATTGAGACCTATAATTTAATATTCCAGGCATATCATAACGGAAAATATTCTCTGAGTAAAAGTATGTGAGGCTAAAGTTCCAAGATATTAAATTTAATAAATGTGTAGATTTGCAGAATTTTCTGTTAAATATCCTTCCGCCACAAGAAATAGTCCCTTACAAATCTTGCTTCTTTGTGAATTTTTGAGCAGTTTTTTAATTGAATGTTGAACATTTTACATTGTTTAATTTAAATATGTTATAAAGATTGAATTGTAATAAATAGTTTTTAAGTAAGAGGTTCTGACTGAAATTTTCTAAAAGGCTGACGAGTGACATACCTTAAGGTATGAAAAAAAAGTACATTAGTAAATAAAATTTATATACCATATAAAACATTCAGTTTTGCCTTGTGAATGGCTCGTCTTTTGTCTCTTAAGCTTCTGATTAAAAGCACCTTGAACAGGAGTTTGGACGCCTATGCTGCCTTTGATATATTATCCTCCATATCTGCTTACTCCGTTAACTGACCCTTGAAAAGAGGAAAAGACGAATTTATAGGCATATGTAATTGCTTTAAATGCACATTGGTTAATTTACAATGTAACAAAAATATAGACAAAGCAAATAACATAAAGTGAATATATAGAATACATTTGTTCTAGGCTTCAAACATGCAAATACATGTACATATATTTTATTTTTGAAAAATTAAGAAAATATTAAATAAACTGTTATAAATACATGTAACTTCCATGCATCAACAATTCAGTATTGAGTAAGATAATATATTAGTACATGTATACATGTACTTCTTTATTTCTGGAAATTTATATCTGCGACTAAGGTTATATAGGTTTGTGTAAGAATATGATGAATGACATTGACAAGGTGTAGGTAAAAACTTGTGAACAGGACAGAGAACTGACATAGGAAACAAGTTAAAAGCAACAACTTCTTAAAATAACTAAAATATATTTGAAAGAGTGGAGTCTAACGTTCATAATAATTTTTCTCAATGCCTGGCTAACATTGATAAACACATAATTTCAATTCTTTTGATTTTATTGATTAGGAAAATGATTAAAAAATCTTACCTTTGTGTAAATTTCCATACAGCTCTGAGCTCTTGTCCTTTTTGTGATCATTCCTGTAAATAATGCATGCATGATTTTATGTCATATAGAGTATAGTCATTTTTAATATTTATACTTAAAATGTAAAATGATTATGCATGTAGGCATTTAGCATGTTTAAATTACCTGTCAAAAGTTATAATTGTTGTGCATTGTCAAGGAATTAAGAATATAAACCTCTTGTTACTTGCTCAATAAAAAAAAATCTTATGCTATAAAACATTAATAAATAAAAACAATGTTAGTTTATTTGTGCTGAATGATAATTTGAGCAGGCTCTCACCATTCTCACAAGCTAGGTGACTGAATGACTTAGCATCTACATATTAGGACATTTCATCAAACTTGATGATTATATGCCGGCGCTGTGCGAATTGAGTACTTCAGCTATAAAATAATAAAAGTAAGTGCTGTGAATGATCATGAACATGCATTAAAAAATAGATATAATTATTTACATTGTACTCTGTAAATGTAAGTACAGGGTTCTCTAGGGCTGTCACGGTTCAAAAATTTTTCGGGTCGGGTCGGTTCTGTAAATTTTCGGCTCGGTTTCGGGTTTTTCGGGTCGGGTATTTACATCTATTTTAAACCTTAATTTCATGAATTTAACTTGAAAAATCTTTATTTGTTACATTAAATTTACATTGGAAACAAGTCTTAACCATGCGAACGTCTAGACATCGGTGACTTGGCCTACTATTAGCCACAACCTGACCATTCCTGCTCGTTCTGATAATTATCTAATACTTCCGCGACAAGTGTTTTGTCATGAAAAGGAACCAACTTTAATGACATCTCAAGAAATTTAAAGCCTTTTAATAACAGCAGCAAATTCACAAAAATTCTTTCTCTATTTCAAGTTCATAGTCTGCTTGATCATCTTCTTCAAGCTCATCTTCTTCCTCATCTTCTGTGCTTTGAAGTTTCTGAATGTGCAGTATGGACAACACTTCCTGAAACTTTTGCTCAAGAATCCTAATCTCATCTGACTCAAAATTGGCTTGAGTTGAGACATTGTGTGTTTCAACATCATGCTCAGGTTCAACTGTTTTGTTTTCATTGCCCATTTCCATCTGACCTAATCATGGAAGCTTCCTCCTGTCTTTAGCATACCATTTTTCCACTGCTTCTTTCATCAATGTTCTTGTGTCCTCAGATTCTGTCTCTGGACCAATGATGCTTACATGCATAATTGTCTCTAACATTTTGTTAGATAATTGATTTCTAAGCCTATTTTTAATACGCTTCACTGCACTGGCACCTCTCTCTGGCCAGGCATTGCTAACTGGCATTGAAAGAATGATTTCAGCCAGTTTCATCAGCAGGGGGAAGGATGATCCAAATGGAGTTCTGAGCTCAAGTAAATGATGGAGACAGTATTCTGTGGGTGTAATGCTCTGGAAATTTGGCAATGTAGATTTCAGTTTTTCAAGGTGATACTTAAACTGAGCCCATTCTGCTTCAAGTGCCAATACTTCATCTTTCTCATATCCAAAGTGAAGACCAATGACTTTGATTTCCTTCGCTCCATAATCTCTGAAAGCTTCTTCTTTCCGCATTGGCACAAAGGTTGGATCAAAAATGGAAAATGAAGACAATATCGGAATTGCTGCATCAAATCTGTCATGAATATTGGACATGAGTGCATCAATGTACTTTTGTAGTAAACTTTGCATCTCTGTTATCTGATGCTCTGTTGGATGTAGCCCAAGAGTAAATAATCTTCCGCCCTCTTGAAGGTCTTTTTCCATCTTGACAATAGGGGAATTTGATTGAAGTACGTCATTCAGAGCATCCATGGTGTACTTAATGCTTGGCTCAATCCTAGCATAGTTAATGGTTCCTGCTTGAAAAGTTCGGCTGAGAGTAGACAGGATTGGTAGTAAATCTTTCAGGATGTATATGGTTGAGATGAATTTGACTTTATGCATTTTGGCAAGAAGACCTTTGGCAATTACTTCATCCTTCATCTCTCTTAAGGTTTGTAGGATGGATGTCATGTCCACAAAAAGCCCATCTACAGCTGCCTCAAAGGACAACCATCTTGTGGAACAGGCCTTCTTCACCTTGTGCACAACAGCTTTCCTGGCCTTTTGAGGCAGTTTAACTGAACAGCTAGCCATCTCCAACTGCACTCTCACTAAAATTGCAGTTCTCTTAGGAGAGTCCTCAAAAAACTTCCACAATTGTCTCAGGTATTCAGATACGTTCTTGATATATGCTGTTTGATCACAAGACTTAACACATGCCAAAGCCAATCAATGACAAATGCAGTGAACAGAAATGAGTGATGGAAATTCCTGTCTAAGTCGTGCACACAGGCCATTCAATTGACCTGTCATAACGCTGGCCCCATCTGTAACAACACTGGACAATTTGGAGACATCATCACCTAAGACACTTAGTTCTCTCAACACAGCTTTATGCAACGTCTCACTGTTTGCAGAGATGGAGTCCTCCAGAACATCAGCCACAACAAAAAATGAAACTTCTGCTCTTTTTGTGACAATATCAACATACTGAATGAATAAAACCATCTGGTTTTTCACTGAAACATCTGTTACTTCATCTAAGAGAATTCCAAATGACTGAGATTTCTTAACTTTGGATATAATCTGTCCCTTGACAGTGTTACCAATTGTAAGGAAAATTTCCTGAAGAGACCTTTCACTTCTGTGCTGGAAATATTTCAGACTTGTTAGACCCATTTCCTCTGCCAGCTTCATTAATAGCAAAATTTTCCTCAAACTGATTTCCTGCTTTGACAGCCATTATGCTGCCAGAAATGTTTGTGTCAGGACCTCTTCTCCTACTCTCTTCTTTTCTTCTTTTTCTTTATGGAAGACAGACACGCGCTTCATCATCTCCCTTTGTATGGCTCCTCCATGTTGAGCAGAATTTCTGTGTTCCTCTAGAGATTTCTTAAATCTGACAGCAGGATCTTTGTTGAAAACCTTGGATTTGTTCTGTAAGTTGTGTTCATCATTTTGTCTACACAACAAACAGAACATTCCTTCACCTTCTGCATACACCAACCACCAGAATTCCGTATCTTTACAAAAACTTATGGTACTGTCATCAATCCATTTGTGATTGAATTTGTCCTTTTTGCCCTCAAACCATTTTTTTCATCTGCGCTGAGACTACTACAGTTTCTATTCATACAAATAAGACGATGGTGCAATTTTCCATCCTCACATTTAAAAGTTTCTAAAGCTTACTTCATGTTGGGGTGGCCTTCATAAAAATTCGTTGAAATAGAAGAAGCCACAGTGATAGGCTTCACCACTTCACATTTAGATGAAGAACTTTCAGCATATTCAGGGGTTTCACTGCTTGGATCATCTATATCTGCAATAAATAAATTCCTATGATCAGTGAAAGATTTTGATAAAATGAAAATTACATTTTTAGTTATATGACCTTTATTTAAAGTAAGTCAGTCCTGAATTTTGGTAACAGATTCAAAGCAACTCAGCTCAAATAGATATAAGATTATGCAGCCATGCAAACTTAAAGCAACATTTCATAATAATAAAATACAAACAATAACATGAAAAACATAATTGAATATTATGATAAATTTATAAATAACTACATTATTTAGATTGCCATCAAATGTGCTGCTAAACGGCATGGACAAATACAAAATTTCAGCATGACCCATATTTGGGCGCTGCCACTTGAACAGCCCCCCCCCCCCCCCTTTGTAAGGCCATAGAAAGCAAGAGAAAGAAAGAAATGATGAGAGCTTGGGCAAAACTTGCTTATCCTAACAAGTCTATACTCTCCCATTGCAAGACAGTATTAAGTACCCCAGATGAATATATTTTAAAACCATAGCAAAAATCATACTACTTACTTTGAGAGGATGATAAAGATCCACTTGAAAGTTCAATAAAGTCCTGCTTCAGTCTTCCAAGGCGGCTAATTGTATTCGGCGCAGTTGCGCGAGCGCGCCGACGCGCCGAATACAATTAAAAAGTTTCGTCGGCAACACACTGTTTGCTTCACATAATCAATATAATGCAATGTCGAAATTCATGCAAATTCGAAATTCGTGTTAATTTAATTAAACAAAAAGAGTAATTTGAATTCAACATAATTTATTACAACTTCAAATTCATTTAAATAACACCCAGACTTACCTAATCTTCGCTTTTTAGCGAAGTAGCCTGTTATTTTCTTATTCTTTGTTTGAAAATGAAAGTAAGTTTTCGTTGATTTTCGATCCCGATTTCGTTTTGGTCCAAAATCATTTCGGGATCGATATACAAAAAAAAAATAGTAACACTCATCGTCTCTGGAATATCGTAACAATTTGTTATATATAATTCTTTATGAAAGAAAATCCTTAGTGTTAACAGGGACCTATATACTACTACTTAGTATATAGGTCCCTGGTGTTAAAATCTTTTTTTTGAGTTACAGTTAAAGTAGGCGGCGAATTTGCCACAAGTAGGGGGCGAGAAATCGCCGGGCGCCGGCTCTTAAGGAGAACCCTGTAATAATTAAAGTAGTACCTGTACTAAGGAATGTTATTAGCTAATAATTTGGACCAGAGTTCTGAACTGGCCCCAAAGAGGCTGCCGACACCACTGAGCATGGAAGAGAATTCCATAATGGGGGGGGGGGGGAGCTATATATTTGAATTATCTGTGCAAATACTAAAGGTCTGAAAGTAAGGAAGACTTGAAATGCCTTTGTTGGTGGTAGTCTGTGAAACTAAATAGAGGCTTGGGTCTACCACAACTAAGTTGTGCACAACTTTATATCATATAGACAGCTGATAGAGCATTATTAGTCTACCACCGTCTACACGTTTTTTCTGCATTGTAAACATGGTAAAGATAGCCAATTTAGATGTTGCAACATGTTGGAGACACTAATAGTGTTATGATGTCTGTGTACGATGTGACATGGACTGTCGTGGTGCAATTGGCAACGTGCCACTAGCATATATAGCGAGGTCTAAGGACATGTACGAACAGAGGAAATTCGGGTTGAAATCCACACATTGTTCAAACATATTTTGATAAGAGATGTTTAGAGTTGTACAATAATTATTACAGAAATGAAACTGCGCTCGTCCTAATGGTTTCATCGTCGGGCATTCTATGTGTGTGGTGCCCAGACGTGCAGACTGAGGAACAGTCAATTATCCATTCAACTTCAAGGACACATAAAATACTGTACATTGTACCTACCGGGTCTTAAAATGTCTGCATCTTTTGTCAAAATACAAATTCCATTCCAAGCTAATAATGACAGCAGTTCCCTTCTTCGTGACACTCTCTTTCCTTCTGTCCAACAATACAACATGGCAGCCGAATTATTGAATTTTGGCGGGCTGTAGTTTAAATTAATTGTTCATCGAGCCCGACATCGAGCCCGACGTAATTGTACAATGAGCCGACAGTTTAAGAAAAAATTCTAAGTTATTTTCCACAGCTTTCCAGAGCAGAAAATGTCTAAGTTTCTCATTTTATCAGCTTTTCCATAGAATTCCACAACTTTCCAAACCTCAAAATGTCTAAGTCCAAAGAGCTAAATCCAAGAAGGGGCTAAATCGGCCCAGTCATTAAAATATATGAAACTTTCTCACATAAAACTCTAAGATTTGTATGTTGTAAAACAATTTATTTTTTAACAATATCTCTTCTGGTTTTCTTTTTACATTCGTTTAAATTTGGTATTGTTTCCTTATTAATTAATACTATCACGTCATTACGTTGATGTTACATACTTGAACGTCGTGATGTTGACATTTTGTATAAGACAGTAACATATGTACGTTAATGGAAAAAAAAATAACCAATATAGGCTCTTCTTTAAAATTTTGGGGAAATTTTACTATGAATTTTTTAAGAAGTTCTGAAAACTTTTGGTTTATTTTTTAGTTAAAGCTATTTGTACTCTAAAGAAAAGCCAAATATTTGTTATATACAACGGTTGTCTGGTTGATACATGTAACACGTTTTAAATGATAATAAGAGGCACGTTAAGCTGAAAACAAACACAAAGTTTTAATCCATCATATTTGAGTAAAACTGAATTAATGTACTAAAATATATACCATAGTTGCCATGGATAAGGATTTTATCATTCATAAATGTGTTATTGTATGGTCATACCAGAAAATACACAGGTATACTCTTTAATAACGAAAACATAAAATTAAAATGAAAAGTTGCATTAAAAATGAATACGTTTGAAGTTACCATCTATTTTATTGTCATTTTGATAATTTCGTTGCACTTCCGAAATTTATGGCATTTCCCGGACATTTGAAATGAAATTGTAGTTCATACATGTAATACACGTAAAATAGTGACGTTTGACGACAATCCTGCGCACCACAGATTATCAGGAAAGAAGCCACTACAGATTCTAAACAAGAGTGATGCAAAGCATCAAATCGGCCGCAAAAAAATATTTTCCAACGAAGACACAAGATTTCCAAAGTATTTGAATTTCAAAACAGAACCTGAAGTTAAAAAAAAAAAAAACAAAAACAAGATAAACGGAAATGGCACATATACCACTTTACTCAATGTAAATTACTTAATCGAAATAAAGTTCACTAATTATGATAAATTTGTTATATCGTCAAAGAGAAAGGTTTTTTATATACCCACAATAGATATGAAAAGAGATTTCAGATGATAAGAACGATCGAATGAATTATTGCTAACTTATCGTTTTGTTATTATATTATCATATCTTACACACTCCCATGTTGGGGAGTACCTATTTATAAACCCTTTTAATAAAATCATAATTAAAAGTAATGATTATCTGGTGAGAAATAAAAATTACATTGAAACATAACAACATCTAAGACTTTCATATAGTTCAAAACCAGTTTTAACATTTTACTCATAATTTTCATATATTTAAAATAACGTTCCGTTTCTCCATGTGCAATTTCTACTACAACTACAAATAGATAGGCGATAATGAGTACAGAAGACGATAAAATAATCATAATATCGTAAACATATTGCAGATGAGATTTTTAACTTGGACGTTTTCGGATCGCTACTCTTTGTAATTAAACAAAAATATACGAAAAACAGCTACTGCCAGTAGTAAATGGCTATCATTACAGACCGTTGGAAAAAAAAATTATAGACCACATGTCGAGCGACATATTACCATACCCCCCCCCCCCCCAAAAAAAAAATTACCATGTTCAAATGCCCGATCTATGAAGTTATATTCTATATAGACATCCTTTCAAAAAAAAAAAAAAAAAAAAAAAAAAACAAATATGATAGACAGGCAAAATTAGCAGTGATATCCGTTAATAATAATAATAATACATTCAGGATACATGGCCGTAGGAACCGGGGGTGGCTATGCCCCCCCCCCCCCAATAATTTTGCCGATATATAGAATACTATATAAAACAAAGCTACTATATGCTTGTGTCCCGTCAATAAAACGTTTGATCCCCCCCCTTTTTTTTTTTGCTTGTCAAGGAATTTTGGTAGTTGATAGTGTTCCCAACTGAAATGTATGGCTGTGCCTCCCCCCTCCCCCCCCCCCCCCCCCGCCAACTGAAATTGCTACCTACTGGCCTGGGATCTATAATAAATTTATGCAATGAACGAGTCACGAGAAATAAATCGTTTTTTTTTTTAAATAAATTTTTATCAAAGAGATTGAAAAAAAAAATGAAAACTGCTTTT